TTACTTGGGTCTGGGAGAGCAGGATGTGATGTGTACTTTGCTGCAGTGCCAGCAGATGGCAATGGAACAAAGACTTCCCCATCTCCTCCCGATGACTGACACTCACCGAGTTTGTGTCACAGCTCTCGGGAATACCAAATAACAGTTTGCTTTAAAGTAGATTTTTTTTTTTCCTGCTACGTATATTTTAGCCATGTTTTATTGTGAGACATGTATAGTGCTTCACATAAAACAGTTCCTACCCTCAAGAACTAATCAGTATTTCTAATGTAAAATTTAAGTTATGGTACACAGGTTTTCACCTTCTAAGCCCCTAAGTTGATGTTACTGTACATCTTACCATATTTTGAACTATATAACTGTAGAAGTGCATTCAGTTTTGGGAGTGGAAATTGATGACCACCAGCTGCACAGCACTTTATAAGTCAAGGGGATAAATCACTTTTTTTTTTTAGGCATCGAAGTACACATCTTTGCAAGGTACTAAATTATGTAAGGCAAGTCTAGTTGCCAAAGTAATTTCAAGCGACTTTGTCTTTTGCATTGATTTTTGGATCGATTTTGGGGTTTTTTTTGACTGGTGTGTGAATGTTATCAACAGCCACTTTATTCCATCCACTAATTTGAATTAGCTACCTGAAAGTGAAAATCTTCATTTTATCATATCGGTTTCTCACATCACTCATTCAATTAAGGTATAAAGTGCATGCACTACATTTTTCTCTTCAGGAGAGGAGAAACATTTGGAGACTGGAGGGACCAACCTTTGTGACTGGTTGACTCTTAGTGTAATAATGAAATGAATTGATTTAAAAATGCTGAGGGATGTGACCCCTTTTTACAGGCTAGTGCCAAGTCATTTAGTATGAAAAGTGAGAGTGAACTTAGAAACATGCAATTCTTAAGGCTGATTGACTCCCTATGCATATAGTGCTTTCTAAAGGTTGTTGTTAGCTCCTCATGCAGAGAAAATAAAACCTGTGATGTGACTGGGTACTTAGATTTGGAACTGTAAATAATGTTCTTACAGAATGGACAGAATGGGGGAAAAAGCATCTTGAAAGTAGATCGCAGCAAACTGGATCAAAGTGGACACAGGTCTCATTAAGGCACTAGCTACACTCAAGCTTTGTTACAGGCAAGAGAGGGACTCCTGTGGCACTAGTCACAAGATTCATGGACATGAATAGTGTAATAACTAATTGCCTATGGCAGGGCTTCCAGAAATCTGGCTCTGCTCTGTGATAATTATTTCATAGAGCAATCCAAAGGCTGGGGTAGTTAGCACTGCAGCAGAACGACTGAATCAGCAGGCATTACTGCATCAGTATCAATCTGTGAGAAGTAACTTTACTTTTTTAACTATCAGTCCCTCAAGAATCCATGTTAATCAAGGTTTTTCAGCCTAGAGATACTGAAATTGTTTCTGTTCTATACTGAATGATTGAAGTGTTCTTCTGGAAGGTTCCTGACAATTGCCATGATTTACAAAATGGCAGGACTGCTTCAATACTGGGATTGTGGAAACACAGAAGTACATTCTCTGGAGTGAGTTTTCCTACAAAGAAAACTGCTTTGGCTTTAGTTTGTGCTAAAAAGTTAGTATTTAGCATTGAGCAAAGTGTAACTTCAGTCAGTGTAGGGGACATGACTCCGAGTGTGGTCAAGTTATGTGTTTCCAGTTGTATGAGTTTGGTTTGGTTTGGTTTGGCAAAGGATATGAGAATTTTCTTTGGTAATTCCTGACAGATTTTGTAGAGAAAATGATGTCACTGTAGCTGCATGATTTAGAGCTGATTGCTCTTAAACTGCCTCACTGAAGGATGGAGCTGGTTTTGCAGCAGAGTGAGCAGGGGCCACTTACTTTCTCTTTGCCTTTATTAGACCTTTTCAGTTTTGAACAATGTTCACACAACTGCAGGAGGCAGTTTGAATCAGAATTGTCCTTATTTACAAAGAACCTGGAAAGTTGGATAGTAAAATTGTTAGCCAATTTTTTCCCCTTTTCTTTATGTAGTCCTGGAAATTGTTCACTCAGTGTCTTTTGTGTTATGCAGCAGAAGCATTTGGCAGAGGCCAAGACAGAGGCTTCAAGAAAGGTGCTCAGTGTATGTGTGTTGTTACTTTGCTTGCTGCTTTTTCAGAGAAACATCTGGTTTTATTGCAGTCGTGTGGGGCCTGAGAGCCTGTACAAACCTGTGGAAGCAGTAGTGGTTCAAAACTTAGAAGAACATAAGCAGACACACAGTCCACTAAAAAGGCATGTTGGAATTGAAAAGGATGAGCAGTGGTGTGGGGAGAATGCAGTTCTGCAGCAAATTGGAGGTACTTGAGTGTGGAGTATCTTCAAATATTTTTTTCTTGGCAGTGTACACACATTGCACATCTTTGTGTGTTTCAGTAATTCTGATATTCACTTGATAGAACTGATCTTATTTCTGGGCTTCAGAATATATTCGTTCTAAAAAACTGAATATCGAAATTAAAGTAAATAGCTCCAAATTAATCCATTTCCTAGCAGAGGTACAAAAAAGTCCCTTGAAGTCTTTGTGTCTGAGCAGTTTGTTTGAAAAACCCTTTTCCATCTTGGGTTATGTCATTATAATGCTGCTCTGTAGCCACAGATCAACATCATGTGATGTGTTTTTGAATGATCCTGACTTTCTTGTAATGTTTTTACTTGTTTCCATGAAAACCTCTTTGGTGAGGTCACAGGAATGTTTTAACAAGGGCAGTAACTGGAGTTCAGTATTCTTGTTTTGTTGTTGTTTCTCCCGAAACGTAAATTCATCTCTTCTCATTCAGCCTAAATTATTTAAGGCCAACTCATTCAGATGATTTCTTCCCTCACTTTACACATGTGAGTCATCATTAAATTATCAATTCATTTAAATCTCCCACATTTGGTTGCTTTTCGTCTTCTGTGTATTTAAATGCTTTAAATGAAATTATTATTTGCCTTCCATTTCATTTAGAGAAGCAATCACTTAAATACAATTTGAATAAATGAGGTAAAATGGCTCAAGAAGAGAATGTTAAATAAATACCTGTCTTTCTCTTTGATGCAAATTTGTGCACATTGCTCAGCCTCTGTTACCATGACTGTGCTCACTTGAGTTTTGGCAGCTGCTGATGGAAACAGGCTTTCTGTTGTCCCGGTTAAATCCTCTCCCCAGGTGTCATAAAGCTCTTCTGTGTTGTTCCAGCTGTATCTCCCTCCAGCACGTTGCAGTCTGCCTGTTCGTTGCTCACTAGTGCTGACAGTCCACCTGAGCGTGGACAGAGGTTGCCCAGCACAAAGCCAGACAGTCAGATCCTGTTTGTAAGAACTAAGTAAAGATCTAAATTCCACTTCTCATGGTTCCTGTAAGCCTTTAACAACCCGAACTGCAGCATTGCCCCAGGCCAGTTGTGTGATTCTGTCACTACTTTCCTAAATTATTTCTGAAGTTGGTTTTTCACCTGTTCAAGAACAGCCCCATTGCTTGTCTTGCTTTGCGCAAAGTTATTTTGGTTAGAAGAAACTGGAGCACCTTTCCAGTAGTGTTCTAATATTAATGGCCTATGTAGCAAGCATTTTAGGTCTTAGTTCCATGTATAATCCTGAATATGTGTAGACAAATTGAAGTAGTAATAAATTCATAACGGAATTGTATCCTGCTGCTTTTAAACAAGCATAGTATTTTAGTTTAAAGCTTCAGAAATTATAGGTATATTTTATGTTTTCAGATGTTACAGTTGAATGGAAAGAAAATACTCATTTTGATGGGGAGGCAGCAGTTTAATGTTTAGGAAGAAACTTAAATATTTGCTGGTACAAAGCCTGTATTTTGCCTTGAGACTGTTTGCTTCCCTCCACTAAAGCCTTACCCAATTACTAGTGCAGTCAATTGAAAAGCTTGCATTAATTAGCTCAGTAACCTCTGGATCTTTACTGTAATACACATGCAATTCATCATGTTAGGCTTGTCTTTGTTTTAGCAGTAAGGGAGGAGAGATAAAATTTACTGAAATACTGTAGCAGTGAATTGCTCTTACCTGTTGTATTTTGTGCTGAACTAAAATATAGTTGTGATATTAAATGTCAGAAAACATTTTCATGAAAAAAGTTGATAATAATAATTTGCAACAACAGGGGCCATGGATAACTACGTGGTTTCAGAAACTGAAGTGGGCAGCTGTAACTTTAAAGCTAATAAAAACTATTAAATGTAGTTACCTGGTTTTTAAAGGCTGTGTTGAAAACCCATAGGATTTCCTGGCTCTGAGTTAGCTTTATCGAACAGTTTGGGAAACACACATGGGTACAGGTGTGACAGTCACATCAGTGACACTCAGATGTGTCTGTTAAATAGGCTATCAGAAATACGTGAGTCTGGGATGGCAGGTTTGAGGGAATGCTGACATTTGCAGTCAACTTCTGTATTCTTAGAGGAATCTGTTTTATATGTATTTATTTTGCAAATTACTTTTTCCCTGGTTTGTTGTTACATTTCATAAATTATCCTTGTATGCTGCGCTAAGGCAAGGCTTCTACAGAATGTTGCGATACAGTTTATAAACTTTTCCTGGCCAGCCTGTGGGTGGTTGAGCAAAATAGTAAAATTCTGTAGTAGGCATTTGTACTGGGGTAGAAGGAAACTGATGTTGAAGTGGAAGAGAAATTAGGTCATTTTGTTTGTGCCTTTTTTAACTTTATAAGCAAAGCTTGTTGGTCACAGCTATTGAGAGTATGAATATAGGTTGTCCCTGATACCACATTATTTTAGTTAGAATAGAATTTATATTTTAAGGAAGTCATTGGGGAGTTACATTTTTTAAAATTCATCTACTACTTAAAATAGATTATTTTTAATCTAATTCAATAAAAATGTCTGTGAAATGTTTCAGATAAGCTGTGAAATCTGGTAGGTACTAGCAGGTAATCGTGGCCAGTATTTAGATGGGGAGTGTCACTTTTAAAGGCAAATGTAGTGAGATGTTTTCCTTTGTCTCTGTAGTTATCAGAGACTGTTACAGACGATTGCTGTGCTCGAGGCTCAACGTACTCAAGCAGTTCAAGACCTTGAAAGTTTAGGCAGACACCAGAGAGAAGCACTGAAAGATCCTATTGGATTTGTGGAAAGACTCCAGAAGAAGGTATTTCTATGGGCTTTTCTTAAGTCTTGCTTGGAATTATTTTTTTTAATTACTAGTACTTCATCATCTGTAGAAACTGGAGAATAGGTATATATACTTACATAAAAATGAGTTTATCTGCTGAAGAAAAATAGCCCTTTGCTTCTTATTGCATCTGTAAGACATAGGTCTTCAATGATTTTATTAGATACACTTTCTTTCCTTTTTTTTTTTTGTATACAGAGATGTAATTTTTAAATTTCTAATTGTAATGTAGGTATTTTAAGACAACCTGAAATCTGCAGGTGGCCTGAAATATCAGATCAAAAACTTCTGACTTTCCTCATTGGAGAAATGAAATGTGCTATGAGTGAATTTGGTAGGGGAAATGTAGTTCATAGCCTAAACCCAAAATGAACACTAGAAAACATATCTGACTTACAGATAGCATAGTAGAATATTGTCTGATAGGGGAGAATTCCTTTCAATAAGGAAATATTTTCCTTTCAAAAATACCCTGTAGTAACAGCAATACTGAAAAAATATTTTCAGCTTGAATCCTTTCTCACTGTGGTGTCTGCCACTGCCAAACATGGTTGACCTTCTAGTGTGGTAGCGACATGTTGGTAGTTCAGTGAAGATGAAGTAGGTATTTTATGGTGCTCTTTTCCCAGGTTTGTAGAGGCCTGGGTCTGATGTGAGCCTGTTGGTTTCAGTATGTTGAGATGGGTTAATAGCATGGATGATATAACAGTGTTGGATTTGATAATCCTTGTATGGGGAAATGCTAATGACAGTTGAAAGTATCTGGTGTATTTTTGTCTCAAAACCAAAGGAATGATAGTCTTACAGTTGCCCTTTAAATAGAGGTTGAGCTTTGCAGCAGTTTTGTTCTACATAGAAGACAACAAAATCAGTGTAAAATAGACATTGATTTCTCTGATGGGAGGAGTTTAGGTTTATCAGATGGTGCACTCTGAATTTTATAGATCAGAAGGTAGAGAAAAGTACAGATCCTGAGCAAGCAGGATGTTTAATAAAAGACAGTAACAGGATAGTGAAGTTAGGAACAGCTGATTTCAGCTGTAAAATACACTTGAAAGTTCTCTGCTCAATAAGCCATCATTGACCGTGCCGCTGCATATTTTATATGCACTGTTGTGTATTACTCTTGAAAGATACCTTCTCTTTAAAAGTCTGTGTGCTGCATGGCACTTCAGCAATTCTGATTTTCAATTCTGCTGTTAGCTAAAAAGCAGTATGAGGTTTTCATAACTTTTTGGTATTTGGAGTTTTTTTGGATTGCATTAAATACTGCTTTTCACTTTTCGTTCTTGTTTTTACAGGTCGATATGGGTTTTCCATATCCTCAGAGAGTTGTTCAGCTCCCTGAGATTGCCTGGGACCAATACACCACTAGCCTTGGAAACTTTGAGAGAGAATTCAAAAACCGAAAACGTAACAGTAGGAGAGTGAAGCTGATTTTTGACAAAGGTAAAGGACAGTGAGCATGTGTTACAAGGCAGAAACAACCTGTGTGGAGGTTAATAATACATTCTTTGTGTTGCTTACAGTAGGTATACCTGCAAGACCAAAAAGTCCTTTGGATCCCAAGAAGGACGGAGAGTCTGTTTCGTACTCTGACTTGCCTTTAAGTGATGGTCCAGAAGGTTCCACTAGCAGTCGTCCACAGGTAGTTGTTCAAAAGGAAAGAAAAGATTTTACAAAGTAGTAATTTAAAATTTTTTTTCTTGTTTTCAATATGAGTATGTGGATAATCTTAGATGTTACTTCAGATGTTCTGTTGGTGATGTCATGTCATTCTTGTACTCAGAGAACTTAGCTTTGGTTTCGGCAAATTTTATTTAAAATTCTCATGCTTTTATTTGATTTGGGTTTGGGTTTATTTAGGTAGGAAAAGGGTTCAAATCAATTTACCCTAACCATAATTCTGCCTTTATTTGAGCAGATGATAAGAGGGCGACTTTGTGATGAGACCAAACCTGAAACTTTTAACCAGCTGTGGACTGTAGAGGAACAGGTAATGGGAAGCTCTTTAATTTTGTGGCTGTGTTAACCTACATGAGCACAAAAGCAAAAAGTGTAATAATGTTTATAGCATTTAGAAAATCAGAGTCACGTGTTTATATACATATCTCTTGGCAACTCATACCTGTGCTAGGAGAGATGTATTTATTCTTTTTTACTGTTGATTTAGAAAAAACTTGAGCAGTTGCTTTTGAAGTATCCCCCAGAGGAAGTAGAGTCCCGACGGTGGCAGAAGATAGCTGATGAACTGGGAAACAGAACAGCCAAGCAGGTAACAAGTCAAACACTAGGAGAAGTAATCCCTTTTCTTTACTATTTTTTAAATGTCAGTAAAGAAAATTCAGTAGATTTTCAGTAATCACTTTGTCTTAACAATGTAACGGCACAGAGCCTGCATTTCACTAATAACTGTACAACTCTTATTCTGGATCTCAAATGTAGAATGTTAAAAGTGCCCCAAAGCCTATGACAGAGCTGCCAGTCCTAGTTGTTCATTAGGTTTTGACAGCATGCATTTAATTGTGCACAGCAAGTACAGTACAAAGGATACAGATGTGGAGACACCGTGTGTTTCTGCACCTGACTTGTTGGGAGTTTTCCCCTAGAATGGCACAAGTTCTCCATTTTGACCAGAAGTAAAGAGAGCTGATGTTCTGTGTTTGAAGCATTTTAATTTCTCCTATTTCAGTTGTGTGCTTTCAGGTAAAAGTATAACTGAGTATTTCAATATACAGGATTATATCTATACTTACAGGTATAATTCTCCATACCTTGAAAGAATTAAGACATGCTGACTTATTTCATAAATAAAATGTAGATACACTTCCTGTATGTTAACTCTGCATAGTGGATCTGTCATTGTTAAGAAAGAGTAAAGTTAGCTTCATCAGGGACCTAAGTACTAAAGTTCTTTCTATCACAATTTTTGCTAGATTTTCTGTGTATGTTTAAATAATGGTAATTTTTTTCTCTGAAATCTGTCAAAGCTCTGGAGATAGTACAAATGCAGCATTGCACAATAGGTACCAGTTAGATCAGATGTCAGAAAGTAGAAATGAAGGATTTCTTGTATGAGTATTCTGAACCAATGTAGCAATGCTGGCAAAACTTTGATGTGAAGACCTGTTAGATTTAATTTGACATTGAATTGTTGTATGTTTGTTTTTTCTAGGTTGCCAGTAGAGTGCAAAAATATTTTATTAAACTGACTAAAGCTGGTATTCCAGTTCCAGGAAGAACTCCAAACTTATATTTATATTCCAGAAAGGTGAGACAATATTACAGTAGAAATTCTGTGTATCTGTTTGCATTTATGTGCACATTGAGTTGAAATCATGAATATTTTAATAGATCTTAGTCTCGATGAGTGTTTTCTTACTAACTAGTTCCACCTTCTATGTATTTCATACCTAATAATCTTTTTCTTTTGCCAGTACCACTGTGGAGTGAACTGGATGTTAATTCTAGTTTCACATTGACAACTGTAGGGGACATGAAGTGTCAGAAAAGAGAACATGGCAGTCAGATTGCAGACTGAACAGGGTTCAGTGATGGTCTTGGGCTGCTTCTTCCTCATTTGTAAATTTATTGCAATTGGTTTAGAAATGTTAATAAAAACCCTGTTGGAAGAATAATTCATGTTGTACAGGAATCTTCTAATTAACTAAACCATTGAAAATGATGTACGACTGCACATGCTGAACTAGCACAAGCATAGGCTTGGGAAATGTCATGTTTTATTTTGGTTTGCAACAGGATGATTCAAATAGCATGGTCATATAACTGACTGTTAAAATGCATTGCTTTTCCTGGTCTTGGAATGGATGAGAAAAGAATTTGGCCCTGAGAAATCTTAATTTGCAAAAGAAAAGACCATTTCTGTGCAGACCAGTCATGTATTTTGATTCAAATAATGTGGTACTCTTGGGTACTAATGAAAACCACAGACATATGAAGAGGGCAGTGGCAGGTTTTGGGGGGTTTTGTTTGTTGTGTTGGGGTTTTTTTTGTTACCACAGTATTTGAAAAAGTTCTTCAAAACGCATTACAGGGGCATTTTGTGGAGTAATGTTACTTGTTTGCATCCAGGTGTCCCTGATGTTTTCTGATTAAGAATAGAGTAAGCTTTACATTGATTCTGCAGAAAGGCAAATTTGCAGATTTAGTCCCTTGAAGGTTTGGAAACAAAAGTTACTGCCAGAGGGGTGATAAAAATGATCTACCACAGTTCGTGTCTAATGATTTAAAATGTTGCACGCCCAAGTTGTCTCCTAGCATCCTCTGAAGTTATTGCAAACAATAATTGCTTGTATTGGAGGCTTTCCAGTTTGCCATCCATCATGGTAATACCATTTTACTTTCACCAGGATTTCAGTCTACTATTCTGCTCTATAAACAGAGGCAGGAAAGGTGTAGACATGACTCTGTCTGCCACCTTGTCTTTTGGAAAAGTGCTTTCTGGCAGAAGAACCAAAAAACCAGCTGGAAACATTAATACCTAAAATACTGTGGTGAGATTCATCTGTCAGAATTCTGAATTACTTGTACAGTTGGTGCTAAGTTCTATAATAGAACATAATAATACTGTGAGGCTAATTTCAAAAGGCATTGAAAATTTACTTCTGAAAATTATAATCCTTTGAGCTCTTTATGTCATTGTACCACTTTAAATTACCTTAGTCATGTCTTTTCTTCTTTCTCTGCCAGGCAGCAGGTCACTGTATTGGATAAGTGGTGGGAATGCTTAATCAGGACATGTGGGACACTTTAGCCATATTTTTCACTAATTTGAACAGTGATCCACAAAGCTCTTCAACCTCACTATTCTGCATTCACACACAGTGTCATCAAGAGTGAAACATTTTCTATAAAATTGTTGAACATTCTCATACTACAATGGGAATGTTCCCATCCCACAGTTTTTTCTTAGGCTTAGATGAGAACAAATACTTGGTCTATTTTCACAACATGATTCATATCCTTTTTACCAGGTTGTAAGAGTAAGGTCACTGTGCCCTGGTTTGTGTTAAGGCAACATCTCTGGTTTATATTTGTATCCTGCATAAGAAGTACAGCAGATAAAATCAAACAAACAGCATTTGTGGGAGAATTGATCTCTGAGTCTGCTGATGTAGCTGTCTCCTTAGAGCACAGATTGACAGCTCTGTACCAGGTTGTACTCACTCTCAAGTCTCCAGTGGAGATAACATAATGGTGCCAGAAAGGAGATGCAAGGGGTGTGGGAAGCCTGGGCCATGCTGATGTTAGGTCTGTCCAAATTTTGGTGCTGAGTATGCAGCTGTGCTGGAACTGCTGTGTATCTGCCTTCCTACCAGTAAGAGAAGCATGAAAACTGGGTGTTGATACTTAAAGCCAAATATCTGGGGGAAAATAAGGAACATAGATGTATTTGAAGTAAAGAATTGTGTCAAAAGGGGGGAGCTTCACAAGGAGGTGCTTGCATTTCTCCGTGGGGAGTGGATGCTTTTTTAAAATGGCTACTGGAGAGGTGAGAAGTCTCTTCAGGTCTTGAACATCTTGTTGCAGTTACTTTATATATCTATGACATAATGTCTCTTCTGACAAGTGATGAAGAAAATTAAGCAAGATGCATCAGTTCATTTTCCTGTATAACCATTGTCCACTGCTGGTGAAAATAAAACTGAATCAGACATTTAGGACTCTTCAATTGTGGCTTATCCTTTTCAATTTTATGCTTATATAATATCATTAGTGAACCTGCTTTTGAGCTTAATTCAGAAGATACATTTCCCACAGGAAAAATGACTTTTAGCTGTCTGCTTTTAAATGGTATTTTAGTTCATTCTTCACCAGAGGTAGATCATGTTAAAAAGAGAATTCAAACCTTCGGTTAAATTCCTAGGTCATAGCACTGTTATGCACAACAGTGCTACTCTGTAAGCACAGTTTTCCTTTCTTGATCTCCAGATCTAGTATTGAATGCAGAGCTGTTTTCTGTTAACAGAAAATATAAATGGCCATGTCAGCTCAAGCTGAAATACCATCTAGCCTTACATATGGAAGTACTTTAGAGGGGTTTGAAATCTTAACAAAAATCATAAAGGCAGCAAAATGCAGGTAGTCAGTGATCATAAGGCAGAAGGTGAAAGAATTCAACACAGTGGGAATAGTACATTTGTCCTACAACAAAATGTTCATTTTTCTTTGGTGCACTGTAGTAGTTCTGCAAGTCAGAGGTACCAGCTTCCAGTTGTTAGTGCAGACTTCATCTCTTCCCTCTGGAATGAATGGAGCTAATCTCAATTCCTCATGATACTTTTGTCTGCATACAAACATTCCATCTGAGATAATTTGCATGATCTTTGCTTTTTCAACTGTGCACAGCTGTAAAATAATGCTAGATACAATGCTAGATCTCTCTTTAGAGGTTGAATCCCTCTTAGAGATAAATGCTTGTCCTGTAGAGATTTGTAAGTGATACAGGAACCTTTCGGGACAAAATGTCTTGCTAAAAAGAGAGAAAGTGCTAACTATTGCAAGTATTTCTTCTGCTTTATCTGTATGGCAGAATAAGACAATCTTGTATTTTATGATTGTTGAAAAAAATCACTTTAAATACTTCTGGTTTTTGATTCAGACATTTTTCTTTAAATTGAGGAATGCAAGGTTTTACATTAAAAATGTCAAAATGCTGGTCTGGAAAGTAGCTAAGTAGAAAGTTGAGCCCGTTTTTCATTCACCCAGAATTATTCTTTTTGATATTTAATATTCTTCCCTTGGGGAATAAGTAACGGGCTGAGTGCCTTTAATCTATTTTGCAACTGGCGTGCGTTCTGCACCTTCAGAGCATTAAAGGTGAAAGGTTTTAGATATACACTAATGGAGTAATTTTTTTCATCTACTATTTTTTAGATTCCTTTTCCATGCAGTGACATTGACAAGGAACCTTCAGAGAGTTCTTTCTAACTCTTAGAAACCTCTTTTTTGGTCAAATGAACTGCTTTATCTCTCCTGGACTAGGAAAGAAATATGGACAATTACCCTAGACTTAGATACTTTTTTTTTAAGGCACAAGCCTTAAGCTTGATAAGTGTCAAGCATGGACTGGGCTCTTGGCTCTTAGCCCTGTGAAAAACTGGTTCTTTGTTTAGTCTCACACTCACACCATTGGAAGTTTTTTAAGATTTTTGCACCTTGGTTCTCAGTCTTCAAAATGTAGCAGCCTTAGTTTGTGTTTTTCTCTTGTCAGTCTCAGCTGTTCAGATGGTGGGGGTTGGTTTGTGGCAAGGGCTCTTCCTTGCTGTGTTTTTACCAAAGTAATCTTGCACTGTTCATCTGATTTCACTTGCTGTGGGGGAGAAGACCTCCAGATGTATGAGGCTCTGATATAGAGTTAAGTAAAAATAATTGGAAAGATGATAGATCTCATTTAGTGCAAAAGAACAAATTTCTGGCAAGGTTCTATCAGTGAGGATTATTTACATAATAGCCATGGAATGTTTTTTAAAATGTATCATTTTTTCACTGTAGTCATCAAGTAGACGGCAGCATCCTTTAAATAAACATCTTTTCAAACCTTCAACTTTCATGACATCTCATGAACCTCCAGTTTATATGGATGAAGATGATGACAGATCCAGTTTTCACAGCCATATGGATACTGCAGCAGAAGAGGAAGTATCGGTATGTCATTTAAATCAGTCAGAGAATGTCTTGCTTGCTGTCATTTTGATTGTGTTTAGTGAATATTATGAAGATTAAGCATATTCACCTTAAAATAAATATCATCATCAAGTATTAAACAGTAATGAGATTCATGGCACACATCATTTAGACCAAATCAGGAAGGAAGTCAGTAAAAGAAGTCATAAACAGTTTATCCTGAAATAGCTCTAGGAAGTTTTAGTTGCATATTTTCAGAAAGTGATCTGGCATGAGGTAGGTTTGAAAATCACATGAACTATAGAGTGAGGATTCTGGCTAAAGTAAAGATAGGGAGAGCTCTGGTAGAATTCGAATGCTGTTGCCATCATTGCTTTTTGTAGTCCTTCACTGACTGAATTAATTATGGATTTTGTAAAATCCCCTTCAAAGTGTAAACTAACGGACTGAATTGTCAATCAGCAATCAAATTTATGTATTCCTAGAGACAAACTCTTGCAGATATCCTAACCCAGAGAATTGCTCCATCCCTGAGTATGCTGCGTTCCTAGTTTATCACATGCAATAATACTGCGAGAATTTAGACATACGTCATTCCCATTTCTGGACAGAATCGTGGAGGGACTATATCCTAACACTAGGATGCTGGGCAAGTTTCACAGCTGGTGTGAATCACTGTGGGTTTACTGTGCTTAGGCTGAAGAACCTGACTTGTTAATTTGATTTTTCTTTGTGAGCCTAGTGACATCTTGTGTGCGAAAAGCTTGTTGCATAACGGAAGTATTGAGGCCACCCACTATGAGTCCATTCCTTTCCTTTACTGACTTTTATACCTGCACTGCATAGTCTTCCTTAATTATTAAATGTATTCATCTGTTTCTCCCATGTTCACTCCTGTTCTATATTCCTTTTCTGATGGTCTTCTGATTCATCTGCAGACATTCCCAATTATTTCACATGTTCCAGTAAGAGATCTTAAAGGGCCTGGAAAGCAGAATGCTTATAGGAGTGATGCAGTGGGACTGTTTTTGAGCCAACATGCTTCTGTGGTGTATTGGTTTTAAATATATCTTTTTTAACTGCTCTGAACAGTTTTCTACTACGTTTTGGTTTTGCTGTGGTCTCCTGACTCTATGGGCACCAATCAGCTGGGCTTGATTTTAATTTGGGCAGAAGTTGCTGTTTCACATTTTTGCAGTGCTCATGGTGGACTTGTGCCCCTCTCTTCCCCTCCAGCTTTTTTTTAATTTGGCGTAATCTTTCTTCACTAGTGCAGCATTTCCAGGTGGATATATTTCTGGCTTGCAGTAATGTAGAGAGACACAGGCGAGCTCAGTTACCAAAAAGATCCCCATTTTCAGTGCAAAATAGAAGCAATTTGGAAGCAAAAAGGGATCAAAGTGAATGTACAGGAGTCTGTTCTAATATTAAAAGTCAGGTCTGTCAGTGACAGCCACTGTCTTCGAGAAAAATACTTTGCATCATGTTGCAGAAGAAATTCAGTGTAGCAAGAAAATTAGGTTTTCTTTGACTTCACAGTGGAAGAACCAGGTAAAGACAAAAGATTTTGCCTGAACATTACCTCAGCTTGACTGACATAACCATTCCTGAAAAATTACATTTTGGTATAAATGAGTTATTCCAAGTGAAGACACCCTATTCTCAGCAATGTTCATTTACTTTTCAGTTATGATTTCTTAATTTTGT